GGGGGGGGGGGGGGGGGGGATATAGCGCGTTGTTTATCGGCCGCCGGGTGACAAGGGGGGGCGCCGCCGCAGGGGAGGGGGCGAGCGAGGGATGCGCGGGGGTTGGAATTGTAAAGATTACGGGCCGATGTTTATGCATTTATGCTGAGTTATTGTCGGCGCGGCTTTACCGATGTTTATGCTGATTTACGCTTTGTGCTATCTGCCGGGACACATTGTCCCCGGAATTATTATTCCGCGGTCGCGCGGCGGAGGCAGCGTCCCGCCACCCATGTCTCCTGCTCCTCCACCCGCGCTATTTTCCGCCGACGTCCCCTCCCTACCCTCCCCGTGAAATCTCGAATTTCGTACGCGCTCTGGAAAATTTTACGTCCGCGCTCCCCCTGCGGACTGGATAATCAGCGTGGAACCCGGAAGAATTCTCGTGTCCCCATCGCGCGATCCCGTCGAATAATTAAAACGTCGCGCGATAAAAAAAACTCGCCAATTTTCCCGGAACAACGTATTGTTTCCCCGCGAGTGTAAGCTTTCGATTCAACAGCGGCGCCATGTATTTTGGATTGATTTAATTCGTCTAATTTACGTCGGGGGGCGTTGCAACGTCACGAAATCGATAGTGATTACAGCGGCAATAAGAGGGACTCCGCTTCCGCGAAATATGTGTTACGGCGGCGTGCGAAGTACAGGAACGCGTTATCGCGACCGTCCCTCTGACTGCATTGTCCTGGTGGTTTCCGGCGAGATTCTTCGCGACACCCGGTCGTTACGAAAAAGCGCGTTGCCCACCTATCTCGCACCCTTCCCTCGTCCCTCCCCCCTCTCCTCTTCTCTCTTTTTTTCTGTTTTTTTTATCTCCACGAGGTAAGGCATAAATAAGCACTGCGTTTGTGCGCCTCTTGGGTACATAATGGAGTATTATGTGTCGGAGATACCGCCGCTCCACCGTTCTCTCCGGCCTCCTCCCCGCCTGAGCGACACGCGAGAAGGGGGAATGTGTACAAGATACTTACTGCAAATACCCATGGTGCCCTGTATCGTGTTCTAGGACTGCGATAATACGTCCCATTGTACGTGAGACGGCGAGAGGCGCAGTTAACAAAAATTGCCGGGAGATGTTTAAGTCGGCGATAATCGATAACCGCGGAAAGGTAAACATGATAAAACAGGCCGGTCTCGGGCGCGCTTTTGTGGGTCAACGCGAATATATACGGGGTGTCATAAAAGGAGGCTAGCTCCCTCTCTCGAGTCGTGAATCCGTGACTTGTACGTAAGTTTGTAGCCCGCGTTAAAGAAAAAAAGGGGAACTTCCGTTTTAGATAGAACTGATGTCAACTGATGTCAAGGTATCGAAATTTAGCTTCCAAAAAATTCAATTGAGCGACAGGACGATGTGAAAATGCGTACGATATTTGATTGACATGTTCAGATTGTTATTTCAAAGCCGAGAAGTCATTGAGATCCAGGTGGTATAATTAATGACAAAGTTAATAGTAAACTGCCAGCTTCCGGCCTCGTCGACTCTTAGCATCGAGGGATGGTCTTGGGATTACGTTGTAGACCCATCCCCGGCTAAACTACAGCGTTCCCCGTCACGAAACTATTCAATTAAACCGCCCCCGATACGCGTGAGGGACCCTTCGCGGCTCTCCCTTCCCTTTTAGCTCACCGACGTATAACGATGTCGAGTTCAGCGGCGTATTTACGGTAACGACGAGCCTCGACGAATCCGCGCCGCGCTAGAAAATTGGGCAAGACCAAGTTAAAAAGGAGGACCGTTAATCGTCGCGCAGGACAAAACGCTTTCTCCTTTATCGAGACGGTAACACAGCAGATCCGTTACGTAATTTTTATCATCGGGGTAATTTTATTCTCCTCAATATTGCGCGATTTAAATATCGACAGCTTAATTCGCTCACAAGCATTATCGTGCGCAATTACCGCATATCTTGTAGGAAATACAACATAATATTATACAATCGTAATATTTTTATTTAGGACATTAAATATAATCAGGTATTCGTGAGTAAAATAAATACATGTATCAAATAGATATTAAGTACACGGTAACAACAAGCAAGTAGATGCTCGTTTACGCCGAGTCACGGTGTATAACCACTAATTTGTGAATTATTATCTGCCAATCTGTCCAGAGCTCTTCACATGAAGGAACACCCGGACTACAAATATCGTCCGCGGCGGAAGCCGAAGTCCTTGGTGAAGAAGGAGAACAAGTACACGTTCCCGATGTCGTCGCTTTTGCCGCCCGGCGACGCTCTGGCTAATCTACCGCGCGGTCTCCTGCCGCCGCTTGCGCCACCCACGCACCATCCGCTCATGTCGCGCGAGGACCTCAAGATCCCCCATTTCTTGCCGGCCTTCCCCTACTCGCTCTATCCGCTGCAGCACAAGCTGAGCGAAGACTTCAACGGCGGCAAGTTGGCCGCCGACCTGGCCCTGCAAGCCTTCTACACCGGCGGCTCCTTTTATCCGAACCACCACACGATGCCATGGCCGGCGAGTCTGTCGTCGGTCACCTGCCTGCAGCCCAATTGCGACTGTCCGAGTCTGCCGAAGGAGCCGAAGAGGCCGTTTCCGCCGTCCAAGATAGACGACCGGCCGTTCCCCAGTCCGGCTCGGGCCGACGACAACGCCGTGGTCGCGGAGCGAGAAGAGTCCCGGTACCGGAAGGTCCTCGAGGAGGACTTTCCCATCGGGCTGGACAGACACCACCATCATCATCAGGAGGACCGTTCGCAGGATCGCTTCTCCTCCTCGTCGTCTTCCTCCCCGCCCACGGAGCCGGAGAAGTCGTCGACGGCGACGACGTCCTCTTCGTCTACCTCGACCTCGAGCGGCAACCGAGTCGACAGCGCCTTCTCCGTTCAGAGTCTCACGTCGTCCGGCGGCTCGAACTCAATCTCGCAGCGCGGCCACGTCATATGAAGGCCGCTTCCGGTTCTCCCGGACCTGAACTTCCGGGGGAGCCTGGTGCCGACGGCGTGGCCGGCCGCCGACTGGTGGAGAGTCGCTCCGATGCTCTCACCGATCCCCCAAGCGACCGTGACGAACCTCAGCGCCGGTGTCGTCAAAGAGGACGTCGCCCACTTCGCGGACGAGCAGCAGAGGACCTCCTCGACCGTCTCCAGGTCGCCGAGGAGCGGCGTGCACATCGCCAACCTGCAGTGATGCAAGCCTGACGGCGATCAACGAGGGTTGCACACCGCTTCCTAAACCTCGCATCTTTTCGGAACGGGACGAGTGAGGTGCTGTCTGGACTCTCGGAAGGATCCTGAGAGAACGGAGGAGACCCCGCTGTTTCGTAATATGGACGACATCCTCCGACCTGGTCCGCGGCTAGTGAAAATAATGTGTACAGTTGACGCGCTCGGCTGGGGAAAAACGATGTCGATCGAGAAACACACCGGAACGAGAAATAATCTCGCGAGCTGGCGGAACTCAGCAACGAGCGGCGGCAGTAACAGCAGCAGGAATCGATAACTCGCCGCGGCAGCCCGAAATCCCACAAAAGGCGGCGCAAAGGGTCCCTCTCGGCCCGGATCGTGCACGCGAAGCTGGATGCTAGAGGACTCCAATTTTGATGAGATAACCAACCCTCTCATGCCACACATATTACGGGGACGGGCGGCCGCGTATGCGCCGACGAGAGGGGGAGGGAGGGGATGGACACGCTGGCTGGGGAAGGAGAGGAAAAAAAGCTCTTCTGGCGGAGGCAAATCTCTTCTTTGGGACGCGGCCGTGCGAAATAAGCCAAACGTTCTGAATGCTAACGTAGAGACGCGCACCCTCTCCCCGTACGACGACAGTTTCGTTGTATTTCGCGGCGAAACCGCAGGCGAAAGCATCGATATGGCGAAATGGAAGACCCGCGACTGACTGGCTGGTTGGTTGGCTGGTTGGCGAGCGGAACCCACCTTTCTCGATGTTACACAGAAAAGCCAAATAGACGTTTCCAAAGGTTGTCTCAAATGTATATTTCGTCCTATCTTATTGGAGATTACTTTCGTTGACGACGGTTAGGGTCCCGTATCCTAGACACGATTGAGCTGTTTTACTTCTTCGCGGAAACAAAGATCTCGCTGGCGCAGCTGATCGGCTGGAGGTGTGTTTCGCTGCTGTAGCTGGAAACGCGCTGCTGTGATTAGAATTTGGATTACTGTTGCTGAGTGTACAGGTACCATGACTGATGCTTGTTCATTGCATCTAAATCTGTAGGTGTCCATCCGTATGTTGCTACGGAAATTCCAGAGAAGCTAATGGATACCCTTGGACGGCTGCAAGATTGGCTACAGAAAAGAAACAGTCTTAAATCAACGATAGATATTCTCATGTGAAAACAAGAATATTATATTTTTAGAAGATTTTTAATTTTAAATTGAGTGGAAGTAATACTTGCATCAGTACAAATTCGGTCAAATCAAGGCTGAAAATCTTGTAAGAAAATTATAATATTCTTGCTTACGTGAGAATATCTATAGTTGACTTAAAACTAATTTTTTTTTCCGTGTGTACACTTAGCAACAGTGATTAAAGTTTCGATTGTTGCAGCGAACTTTTGGCTGCAGCGGCAAAACATTTTCAGCTAAACGACGATTGCGACAAGAAAATCTTTTTCCCGTGTTTATCTCTCGTAGCGCGTTGTTTCGTGAGCGTCGCGATTTATCAGTATCTCATTCATCGATATCTCGACGATTTTGTCAAGACGATTTATTTTGAAGTTAAAGTGTGACGATACACACACGTGCATGATGAATTTTATATTGATCTTGTTTTTTGTTATGACAGCGATTATTGTTGACTATTAAAGAGACGAGGTTATTATCGACTCGCGCTCGTTCGTCGGGAGAAATCCGCCGACTTCCTCCTTGTAGAAATTTCCGCTAAGTATCTCTAACGACCGTAGCGAGCACTGATGCGAGTTCATTAGCGTGTACCGTAACGGGAGTAAGACATGTAAACGTAAAACATATCTAACGAAAGAATAGAAACATATCCACCCTCGCTCTCTTTTCCTCTTTCTCTCTCTCTCCCCCCCCCCCTCTTTCTCTTTCTTTATCGCACGGAATAATTTTAAAGATTTTTTAGATACTTTACAACGAGCTCTCTATTGGAATAAAATTCCATCGCACGTTAAAAAATGACAAATATTGTTGAAAGTTTGGAAAATAATTTTTTTATGTATATTTGCCGAATGTTTATAATTAACATTTCTATTATCTAGCTGCGAGAGTATATCTGTATTAATTTCTTACGTAACTACATGATACTACTTTTTTTATTTAACTATTTTTGTTTTGTACTTTACTTTTTATTATAATTATAATTTTGTTAACACTTGAAGAGATTTTGTCCCAGAGCCACACCAACAAACAACATTTCTCGTTTTCTCTCTAAACACTCCCCCCTCCTTCCTCTCTTCCCCCGTCTTTATCTCTCTCTCTGTTACACACACACACACACACACAGACACACACACATTCTATTGCTCTCTCCCTCTTTCTCAGCACCCTCATACGGCACGGACATAGCGATGCTTTAATTAACCCGATTAATTCGGAATAACGGACGTGAAACGTTAATCCCTGTCTTGATGATTACAACTATTGTTAATTACTGCTGTAATATAATAAAAAAAAAAACATTTGTAAATAAATATCGATTCGAATCAAGAAGCATCGTCTTCGTGTTCCCCGTGTTTTCCGACGAAATGTGTGATTATTTAGCAACGTGCGAAATCCCGGTAGGATCTTATCCTATTGGATATTCGAATGAATTCACGAGGTATCATTTTTCCAAGTTTCAATGTATCGGTTCACGAAGCATAACTCTCATATATTTGTGTCCTCGAGCGATGTACACGCTTCCTCCTCGACAAGGTTAAATATTAGCGAACAGCCTGAGAGGTCTAACAGACTCGGCCTATCTCAGGGGGTTAATATCGTGCGAGTGAATACGAGCGTGCGCCTCTCGCATCACCCTCCAAATCCAATGAAAGCCGCGGAACTAATCGGAGCGGGGGACGGAAGGGGAGGGGGAAGGGGTGAGGAAAATCTCGAGGGCAAGGTGGAGTTTCCTCCGAGCATCCCCCCACCGTCCCTCCACCCGAGTCCCCGGCTCGTCGTGTTTTATTTCTGATAGCGACGCCTCCGTCGCCGCCACGAGGACATTATCGCCACCGCGAAGGACCCTTTCTTCCCCCATAAAGGCAATCACGCTTTCTCCGCGGTGAGATAACGGCGAGAATGGCGACCGGGAGACGTTTCCACCGTGGCGGCACGTTCCTCCCCTTCCTCCCTCCTCCCCCCCCTGTTAACAGTCGCAGTCGGTGGAATTTTGTCGCGGTCGATTTCGCGAGAGCCGAAGCGTTTCCAGTCGAGAGATCGATATACAGTCCCATGCAGGTCCACGAGGATAAGAATCGCCATCGACACCGTCGTCGTTTCAAACTATATCTATTCTTTTTTTTTCTTCATTGGAAGGATTAAACGCGCTAAGAAACGTCGCGCAACGTCCACTTAGGATCCATTCGGCTGCAGGAGGCGTCATCACTTACGAGCGGCAAGTTTCGCTTGGCGAATAATTCCAGAGCCAGGTTGCTCGAGAACGACGACGATAACGTAGCGGGTGGAGGAAAGTAAGTTTTCACGGGTGGCGCGCAAAGATGTGGAAAGAGAAGGACCCAGCGAGAAGGGGGTAGCGACGACCACCCCCTCTGACCAGAGGAGTCTACGCGCCTCTCTCCATTAGTATGCGCGGAAGTGCGCCTCGCTCGATTGTGGCAGGTATTGTCGGCGAAGAATGTCCTCGTTGCGCGGAGCTCCGCGGCTCCGGACTTGTTCCCGTAAGGAGACGAAAGGAGGTGGCGGATCCGAGTGAAATGTAATCACTCTCCAGGAGTGTGTGTGTCGGCAGAAACTCCAAGCAACCATAGTTCATTCGACGACTGAGAAAAGGACCACGTAGGATACGGCTGACAACGCTATGTGCCGTTTGCGGGCGTTCTTAGACATAAAACTCGCCGCTCGCTGCTTTACTCCTTAGATCGCTGGAACGGAAAGCTACAATCCCCGTTCCCGTCGCGAGGGAAACTCCGACATTTTCGATTCCCTGTCCGCTGGAGCCAACCCAAAACACGATTCGTTAATCACAACCGATTAATCACCGTTAATCTTCCGTTTAATAATCCGTTATTCCTCCATGTGCGCGCGAGCAAAGTGCAAAGGACGATGATGGTCCACTAATAGTATCCCGATATCCCGTGCCCGGAGACTCCCCCTCAAAAAAGAGCCGAGACGAAATCTGATTCGCCATTTACCGAAATTAGCCTGAAACACAGGATCTCTTTAGAATTCCCGCGTCTCGTCGAGGGGAAGAACGGACGTTTTAATTGCATCGCTCGGCGGCGCGCGAGGGCGCACGCGCGCGCGCGCTCACGCTCGCCTAGTGATATCAGCCGCGCTTTTATGCGCGGCGAAGAGAGGAGGCGCGATCGTTTGATTGCGGAAAATGACGGGCGACGCGGTGGGCGCGAGTGGAAGTTTTGAGTGGGCGTCGGTCCCGGCAGACAATGAGGCATTCAGGCGCGGCATTGTGCCGGCCGACAACTGCGTTACCCTAGACAAACCCGAAATCACCGGCGCTATCGCCGCTCCAGATCCGATTATGCGAATAATAAAAAGCGAGATGACAGAGAAAGAGAAAGAGAGAGAGAGAGAAGGGGAGGGGAAAGGGACGAAAGATAGGGGTGGACGCGCCAAAGATTGATAATAGCAAAACCACGTACTTTCTTCGTCGTCCTACAACAAACACTTGTCGTGTTATATATCTCGTATACTCGTTACATTGTATGGTCAGTCGCGAGAAATTCGCAACACTTTTTTTTATAAATTTCGAAGCGCATCCCGTGTCCGGGAGAATTTATTTTT